GGGCATGTTTTCGATATCCAAATGCCATTCTCGCAATAGTTATACTTATTGCAGTTCTCCGCGTCAACAGACACGGTTCCATTCGTGCAGATTGTACTTGTGCAGCAGTAATTATCGCTGTCCACCACACATATGTTCAGGCTGTCGTCGTAGTAGTTCCCTTGTCCACAATCTGCGGACACCAATTCGCCATCCTGGCATTTGAAGTAGAGGCGGCAATTCTCGGGATCAAGAACCGTCTCTCCATCTTTGACGCCATTATCGCAATCCTTGCCTGTTATTGGACCTTCAGTTGAGCATGGTGGGCATATATTATTCTCATCAATAACACAAGCCTCAAGAAGTTCATTGAAATAGGATCCACTTGGGCATGTTTTCGATATCCAAATGCCATTCTCGCAATAGTTATACTTATTGCAGTTCTCCGCGTCAACAGACACGGTTCCATTCGTGCAGATTGTACTTGTGCAGCAGTAATTATCGCTGTCCACCACACATATGTTCAGGCTGTCGTCGTAGTAGTTCCCTTGTCCACAATCTGCGGACACCAATTCGCCATCCTGGCATTTGAAGTAGAGGCGGCAATTCTCGGGATCAAGAACCGTCTCTCCATCTTTGACGCCATTATCGCAATCCTTGCCTGTTATTGGACCTTCGGTTGAGCATTGAGGACATACGTTATTTTCATCAATAACGCAAGTCTCAATTGTTTTATCAAAGTAGAGTCCACTTGCACATGTCTTCGATTCCCAGCTGCCATCCTGGCAAACGTTGTACTTGTAGCAGAATTCATCATCAGCTGACACAGTACCGTCCACACATGTAGTACCTGGAGTAGTTGTGCACTCCTTGTCGGGGCAGGTGCCGGGTATGCAGTGCAGGCCGGTCCAACTGAAGTAGCTACCGGTGGGGCACACTTGGCGAGTTGCCTGTTGTTGAAAGCATATGTAGAAGACGTTGCAGTCGTCATTATCAGCCACCATGGAGCCATCGGTCTTGCCAATGCAGAAGTTCTCCCAGCAGTTTGAGTTAGTCTCATCAATGACACAATCGAGCGAACTGTTGCTGTAGTAGGAGCCACTGGCACAGGTCTTCACTGTGGCCACCTTGTCCTCGCAGACGTAGTAGCTGGCACAGGATGTGCTGCTTGGGAAGGACACACCATTTTCCTTCGTCAAGCACTGGTTTTGCCAGCACTCAGATTCTAGATCTGGAATGCAAGCATTGGTCGTAATGTCAAATCGGCTGCCGGCATCACAGCTCTGTGCATATGCCAGCTGCTCATCACAGATGTAGAACTCGGAGCAGTAGCCAGACTTGGGCAAGTAGGCGCCATTGACCTCGCTGGCACAGATGTTTGCAAGCTACGAGAAAATGAGAATAAAGTAGATGAAAAGAGAGAAACCAGATTTATCAACTTACTCCAGAAAGCGGAGCAGTTAGGCTCAGTTTGCAGACTCCACGTCTTGCTGCCGAGCATTTGCCTGTCTTCGGATTGTAGTCCTTGCCGTTGGGGCATTTGATGGAGCGCACCACGTTCTTGTTAGTACAACGATAATAGCTGGAGCAGCTTTTGGGATTTGGCCAGTGTGATGTCAGGCCACGTAGCTTGCGGTAAACGCATTCAGGATCGGCAGCACCGACAATTGATGCCACTGCGGTCAACGTAACCACAGCAAGCAGAGTAACTGTTAGGGAAAAACCGAAATTTACTTTACACAACTCTATCAATTGATATCGATGTCCTTTTGCTGACCTTTCATTTCAATTCACTGATATTCCACGGCTGTTGCTATGATTGGACTCCGCACAATTACCAAAATTTCGTGGCCCTTATATACATATTAAGAGAACGCAGTTAACATTGATTTCTCCTTATCAGCATCATTCGATCGATCAGTGCGTACTTATCAGCATTTGTAGTTTGTGTTCAACATGCGCCCATCAAGTACTTTTAATTGAGTTCAAGACTTTTGGCATGAATTCCGGGAAGACACCAAACCAAAGCCATAGAGTCTGCTCGGCCACACCCCAAATAGAAATTCGCCGATTCTTAATTGATTATGAATGAAGTGCAATGGCAGTACCTCTGCACCCAACATTGTGGAAAACATTATTGCTAACAAATTAAAGCTTTAAGCTCTATAATTCTTTGCATATGTACATATATGGTTTAGTATATTCATATTCAAGCGCAAGCAGCTTCACAAGTCTTTGTCCTAGAGTCCCAATAGAGATCCGATGGACAGTCTTTTATATAGCCACGATCACCATCGCAATGGACAAACTTGTGACAGTTATAGGGATAAGGCAGCAGCTCGACTCCCGGATGGTTTCTGCACATTGCATCGACATCTATGCCACCTATGGTTGTTGTTGGTACAGAAATGGTTGTGCCTGTGGGTTCATTCGATGCGGCTGTCGTTATTGGCTCCTCGCTTGTTTTGCTGTCAGTTGTCTGTTCGGATGTTCCTTGTGTTGAAGTAGGTAGATTTTCCGATGTGATAGTACCCGATGGAGTTGTTGCTGATGTTCCTTCACTGGAACTGTTGGGATCTGCAGTGGAGGTTGGATTTGGTGGAGGCTCAGTTGAGATATTTGGATCTACAGTGGGGGTTACGCCCGTTGGATTTAGTGGAGGCTCAGTTGGCGTTTCTTGGGTTGAAACATTGGGATCTGCAGTGGGCGTTACGCCCGTTGGATTTAGTGGAGGCTTAGTTGGCGTTTCTTGGGTTGAAACATTGGGATCTGCAGTGGGCGTTACGTCCGTTGGATTTGGTGGAGGCTCCGAAGACGTTTCTTGTGTTGATGCATTTGGATCTGCAGTGGGCGTTACGCCCGTTGGATTTGGCGGAGGCTCAGTAGAACTATTAGGATCTGCAGTGGAGGTTGCTGCCGTCGTTGTCTGTGGCAGCCCTGTGGGCGTTTCTTGTGTTGAAGCATTGGGATCCCTGGTAGGACTTGGTGGCGACTCTGATGTGGTACCGGGATCAATATTTGGTGTGGTCTTAGAAGGGGTCTGTGTCGAACGTGTGGGTGAAACACTTGTTGTCTTCTCAGTTGACTCAGTGTCAGGTGGTGTCGATTGAGTGGGGTTTGAGGTTATGCAAGGCGGTGCAATTGTTGTCGTAACTGCTTTTAAACAGCTTGCTGCGTTCAGTGTTCTTAGCAGCAGCACCAATTGCAATAATATTAAGACACTAAAGGCCGCTGAAATGGTTACAAAAGTCCTTTAATGTCTATCAATTAGGAAAGGTCAACTGTTTAGAGAACTTACCTTTCATTTTGTTCAAAAACCAAGGAATTGGCAATACTAGAGCAGCAGCAAACGATGCGCTTGGTATTTATATCACTCGGAAATGCAACCATTTATATTATTCCCCTATCAATGTCTAATTAGTACATTACAATGTACTTATGCACCTATCTTATCTCGATTTGTTGATTTGCATAAACCTACATATTCAATCAGAAATTGTCAACATTATTGGCCATATAGAGTAAACAAAGGCGAGGAATTCTGAAAAATTGATGACTGAGTTGCAATCTTACATATGTATTCAATTTAATTACGAACTAAATGATTTGATAATTATTGTTGAGTGTAAACTAGCAAAATAAATAACTGTGTATTTTGCGGCTGCCTGAAAGTATGCAACATAATTTAATTTATGTGTAATAGACTACTACTATTTCTTCGAATAGGTAGTAGAATTTTAATTTGTTGGAAAGAAAAAAAATCGTTCTATTTTTAAATTAATAATGGAATTTATAAATAGAAATACATTTTTTTAGACTAACTACAAAAATCTGATTTCTAATATCAAAATATCAAAAGTCCTAAATGTTATGAAATGTGTGAAATAAATTACTAACACACTCACATTAATCATCTCCTGTTAGCTAATTATTGTAGTTACACCGTTAAGCAATTACTAAGTTTGCTTATCAGGTTCTCTTTATTGAGGGCTCTAAATGATGTGCAAATCGATTGATTATGGAGAATATATAAAGTCAAATAGTTCATCAAAAGTTCAGTCGAAGCTAGGCCAACGTAGCACACATAGCAGCAAATAAAACAAAATGAAAGGTTAGTTTGATCGTTCCACTAATTCTCATCCATATGGAATACAGAAAAAATAACTACAGATTTTAATTTGAATTTTTCAATAATTATTAACTATCAGCAATTATTGGAATACTACTTATCCGAGTGATAATTTTATTTGCGCAACCCATTGAGGACTTTGCCGCAATTCGAACATCCCCAGAGTCCGAAAAAAACAAACCCCAAGCAGTTTTAACAGAAAATGCCGAGAGCTCTCCAATAACTATTGAACCTGAAGTAACAGAAGAAACTGAAGTAACGGAATTAACAGAAGAAACTGAACTAACAGAGGAAACTGAGGTAACAGAAGACACTGAATTAACAGAGGAAACTGAGGTAACAGAAGTAACTGAAGTAACAGAGAAAACTGAGGTAACAGAACAAACTGAGGTAACAGAAGAAACAACGGACCCACCAACATCCACAACAGAGGAACTAGAAACCACTAGCGAACCACCAGTTGTATGTGATGAGGGAGTCGCCTTTCTGCCAGCGCCTCAGTGCACGGATTACTACATGTGTCTACATGGAGTGGGAATCTTAAAATCATGTCCAGACGGTCTCTACTGGGATCCCAGATGGAGCACCTGTAATTGGAGCTCGGCAGGTTGCAATAACGGATTACCGGAATACCAATGTGAAGACGGTGTTGACTTCCTGCCTGTGGAATCAGATTGCACTCAGTACATTCAGTGCGTTCACAATAGTCCAATACAGATGACATGTCCAGCTAATCTACTTTGGAATCAGCCACTTCAAAGATGTGACTATGAATGTGAAATTTAGAAATTTCACAAATTAAATAAACAATAATTTTTTTTTTTTTTTTTTTTTTGAAAAAGTGAATCATTCGCCAAAAATGTAAACAACTGTTGAAAATAATAAATAGATTGGAATTATATTATTTTATAATCTTTTTTATATCAGACCTGTAACAGATATAATGCAATATACTATGATTGTGAAGACTATCTCAGACCTTTACCATGAAAAACAGTAAAAAGCAACAACTTGGAGATAACAATGGGCTTCACATTGGTATAGATAAGAGTGGGTATAAAATGTTTGTCAGTAAATAAATAACGCGTGCAGGTACAGCAGCGTATCAATAACGAAGACAATATATTTAGATATATATTTATGTGTATATTAGTATATGTGTATATGTTTATATATCTCTATATGTCTATATGTCTATATGTCAATATGTCCATATATCTATATGTTTATATGTCCAATATCAAGTTCATATTATCAATCAGTTTAAAGGTAGAGATATTCTAATAAGTACATATTAGTAGTTTAAAACTTTATAAACATTATATTCTATATTTCATTAATCATTATATGGAAAACAATCTTTAATTTTTAGTAGAGCTCTTTCAAAAAAAAAAACATAAACAATCAGGTTAGATGATGGGAAGCACCAAATGGTTAGCGAGGCAAGAAAACAAAGTACATAACACAACAGATTTATGTCATATCATAACAAAGCAATTATCAATATTCCAGAGAACAAAAATTGTAATTAAAAGATGATTTGGCTTGTATCTCTTGGGGTATAAAAGTCAATGTACTACAGCCTGCGAAGACAAATCAAATTTTGTGTGAACAAAGTCAATATGAGATCTTTTAGTAAGTGTTGAAATCGAATACTTAAAAGGAAATATTTCATTTGAAATTCTTACAGTTGTCCTTCTGTTTTGTGCTGCTGCAGTCAGAGCTCAAACTCTGAAAGATGTAAGCGAACGGCTTGAATGGATAGTATCCAATGTACTTCATTAAATTGTTTCATTTGCAGCAATGCAAGGGTGTTGGGTATGATCTATTGCCACATCCGGATAGCAATGAAAAATTCATTGTATGCGCCTATGATTCGGCCGAAGTGCGTACCTGTGACAAGGAAGATCAGGTGCAGAAGTGCTTCGATCCCATCAATAAGGTCTGCAGCGTTGCTGCTTGCACAGCGCCCAAGCCCGCGGACGAGGACATTGCCAAGGAGATATGCAAGAAATTGGGTACATCGGAGCGTATACCGTCTGTCGATTGCGGGCACTTTTGGATCTGCCTAGCGCACATGGAGCCCGTCTATGTTAGCTGTCCACAGGGCAAGCACTTCTCGCGCTCCGAACAGGAATGCATTTCGCCAGCCCTGGCCAAGTGCTCGGCCCCTGAGAAGCTGTGCGCGTCCGACCTCAGCAGCTACGCAGCCGAGAACTGCAATGAATTTTATGGTTGTGCCAACAAGAAGCTGGTGAAACGCAGCTGCGCCTATGGCGAGACCTACAATGCGCTCACCGCATCCTGCGAAAAGGACATCAAGAATAGCTGTGGAGCCTACAGCAAGCCGGACTGCACAGACCCCGCCAATGCCAATGCCTATTTCGCTCACAGTGACTGTTCGAGGTTCTACGTTTGCGTCTTGAATCAAGTCTATGAGGGCAAATGCGCCGATGGCTATGGATTCGACAGTCTAAGCTCCAATTGCAAGTACGGCCTCTGCTAAGGCAGCAATTTAATAAAAATAATTACGCATTTGTTTCAATCTTCCTGGTTTATTTTTCTGCCGGCATTTTAGTTTAGTTGCTCTTGGCTAAACACAGATTTTGTCACAGGTCAGCAGCTGGGAGTTCCAGTACAAGTAGCGCGGGCAGCTCTTCACAAAAGGCAAATAGTCGCACTGTATGAAACGCGTGCAGTCTCCGGGATAGGGTATAAAAGTGCCCTGCTTATCCTTACACAACCCATTGAAATCTTCCTCGCGTTGACTCGGAAATTTCGAGCAATTGCTCAGCGCATTGGTGTCACAGCGTTGCAATTGGGCATTCCAGTAGGATTTGGTCGGACAGTTAAGTGCTCGTGTCTGATAATAGCGATTGCAGTCACCTGGATAGGGCTTATAAGTTATGTCATCTCTCCGGATGCCATTCAACTGTTCTGCTGAGCTGAAGCTACTCAAAACAGCGAAAGCACAGAAAATACAAATTTTGAGCACTGGGAAAAGAAATTTTATAAACTGACTTAAAATAAAATAAAATACATTAACTTACTTCTTACTTCCTCGGATGGAAAATGAGAACTTTGCAGCTTTATCAAAAGCTTTTATACTAGAAGGTCAATTGAGTGAAACGCTCATAGTGCTAAAGTCAGTAATGCTCTCTAGATAAAATATAGATTAAATGAATTATGTACATAGCCAGAGCTTGACCGGTTAAGTGGATTTGATTTAACTGCAAATATGTGAAGACGAATTTGAAAGAAAAATATATATTTGAACAGCACTTGACCGAGGAATTTATTTGTAGCTAAAAGCTAACTAATGAGCTTAAGCAGCCATTGACAGAAGAAACACTACAGATAAAGCTTAATAAAAGTTTGTATAAAAAGACACAGTTCAGCATTAAGATCATTCAGTGCTTGCTACTAGGCTTGGCTGATACGATCATTATATTGCTCAGTCCTTTCTCTCGTGACAATGCAATTTGCGGTCCTCATATGCCTGCTTGGCGTTACCTTAGCAACTGGTAATGTGGGCATTGGCTTGGTAAGTGTATCCCAAATAGCTCGATGTCAAGTCTTTAATAATTGCATCTACAGCCTGTCCCCCTCGAACCGCCCATCGAGATGAGTCAGTGCCCCGCCTACGACGATCCCAATCACATTGTTATGTTTGCCTATCCCAACGACTGCCGCAAGTACTACGCCTGTGTAAATGGCCTGGCCTATCTACATCAGTGTCCCGAAAATCTCTACTGGAGCCAGCTGACGTATCGCTGTGACTACAGGCAGTACGCCAAATGCGAGAATATGCCGTATCCGGAGCAGACGCAGTACAGCGCCTATCCCGGCGATTGTGGACGCTACTTTGAGACGCGTCTGCTAAGCTGCCCGAACAACTATCACTGGAACGATCAATATAAACGCTGTGATCCGCCACAAATTGCCGGCTGTCGGCCAACACCGCCTCTTAGCACCCAGATACCATTTGAGCCGACCGCAGCAACTCCGCCAGCCGTAATCAAGCCAACGATTCAACCAGAGCACAATGCACCCATTGATCCGCAAAGTCTATGCATTGCCGCCGCTGGCCAACTGACCTATCTGCCATATCCCGGAGATTGTCACAAGTTCATTCAATGTGGTCCAACAGCCTCGGTCCTCACTTGCGCCATCGGCTTGTACTGGAACCGCAGCACCCAATCTTGTGGCTCATCCCAAATCGATTGCCAGCCCTACGAGCTATCATACTTCTCCAAAGAGGTTTGATTACATTTGATATACTTACTGGATTAACTGAATAATTCATAAATGTTGACAAAGAATATACATACATATAATCAAATATTAATCTGTAATCACTGCAAACTACATAAATTCAATAAAAAAGGTTTACTCGAAGTTAAAAGAAAATAAATTTGAGAGTTTTCTAAATTGTTGATATCTTTATTATGCATTTTTTTTTTATCACTGAACATTTGCATTTCTAGAAAGATATCCTAACAAAAGTAGCCTTGTAATTAATTTTAATTCCCAATCAGAAGAGTCCAACCATATCCGGGATTTTGAATTAACATCCGACAATTTTAACTTCCATCAAGACATGAATATTCAAGCCTGATCATAATTTTTTTAATTTTCCTATAATCAGTTCTTGAGCATTCCACTTAGGTTTCCATGTTTTATCTTATGCAATGCAATTAGCCAGCTGCGCATCCGTGCAGCTCATGACAACTAGGTTAAACTCCTGTTTATCTGGACAGTCGTAGCCCACAGCTATGGGATCTTGGCATACAATATATTTGGAGCAATTATGCGGATATGGAACTAATGAGCCTTCAGGTTTACCTTCACAGATGTTACCAGGCGATTGATTGGACTCTGTTGTTGTTGTTGTTGACAGAGGTAATTTGGTAGTGGAAGTCAAAGGTGTGACAGTTGTTGCAGTCATGGTGCAGTTGGCATACCACGGAGCCATGCAGCGCTTGAGTGCAGGACTAAACTCTTGACCCTCAGCACAATTGAAGATCAGTGGATTGGGCGAATAACACTGAATGAATTTGGTGCAGTCATTGGGATAGGGCACCAGGACACCCTCCTCGACGCCCGCACAAGGATGAGAAGGATCGGGCTGTGATGTTGTCGTTGTTATTGTTGAAGCTGTTGTTGTTATTGTTGTAGTTGTCGGCAAAGCGGTTGTTGTTGTTGCAGTTGGGTCGTAACTCTGAAGGCAGGCGTCGGGCGCAACGGTTCTGTCACATTCACCACTGATGGGATCGTAATACTCGCCGATGCCGCAAACGCCCATCATATAGACTTTATCATTTATGCAACGAATAAACCACTGACAGTTTTCTGTGAATGGAAATGTTTGTCCTTTGCCATTTAAGCAGGTGTCAGGAGCAGGCGTCGGTGGGAGTGGCATCGTTGTGGTACCAATAGAATCGCAGTCACTTTGAGCCCAATCCACACACTCTTGCAGTGCTGCACTGAAGAAATATCCCTGAATGCAGTGGAATGCTATAGGCACTGGCTCTGCACAAATTATATATTTACTGCAATTATCTGGATAGTTAACATATTGTCCGTTTGGTACTCCGGCGCAGATCTCAGGATCTGGCTGATTGGTTGTTGTCGACGGCTTCAGTGTGGTTGTCCCTGCGGTAGTCTGTGGTGCAGTGGTGGTTGTAGTGATAACACTCTCCTGGCACGCTGTGGGCGATACGTTCTGCTCACAATTGCCCGTCGATGGATCAAACCAAGCATTATATATACAGTCAACAATCATAGACTCTCCGTCTCCCAGACACAAAATATACTTCGTACAGTCAGTGACTATTGGATACGAGATGCCTAGCTCCTGATCAACACAGCGATCTTGTTGCGTAGTGGTTGTTGCTACGATGGTTGTTGTTTCAATTTCCTGGCAAGCTGTCTTCGACACATCACGTCCACAATCGCCTGTCTTTGGATCGTACCAGGCGTTAACGGGACAATTCGCTTTGTAATATTGATCGTCGCCGAGGCACAAAATATACTGTTGACAGTCTTCAATATATGGAAAGGTTGTACCTGACTTTTCTCCCACACATTTCGTAAATGCTTCGGTCGTTGTTTTTGGATTTTGTGTGGATGTCAATGGTGTAGTAGTCTGATCACTATAGCAAACAACCTCATTGGGATCATCGCATACAAGTATAACGGGATTGAAAAGATAATTATCGGGACATGTCTGCAGAATACCTTGCTGTTCAATGCAGACCATGAACGCATTGCATTGGTCTATCACAGGAAACACACTTCCGTTGGGAACATTCAGGCATTCGGAGTCAGGGATTGGCTTTGCGCTACAATCAACTGAATCGGGCGTGTCACAAATCTGTAGATCTTTGTTAAATAGCTTCCCACTAGAGCAGTATTGGAGATACGCTTTCGAATCGATACATGAAATATACGCAGCACAGTCATATGGATATTCATAAAAGCCATCTGGCAAATACTTGCAGAAATCTGCTTCAACATTTGAGGCTTGTTTTTCGACTCGAATATTTCTAGTTGAAACAAATTGAACAGCAATCGCCAGCGATATGAAAAAGAATCTCCAGCTCCAGTTATAAGCTCAAAAGAGTAAAGCAAAAAGAATATCATGAGAAACAAGAAATTAATAAAGAAACTTTGTGATGTTGATACTATATTCTAAATACTAAATAATATTCGGTTGCCTTTTTTAGGCAGTTGCATAATTTATTTTCAGAATAACATTTCAATCAAAGTTTTTGGAGTTTATAGTTAGGGTCCCTTGTTTAAGAGTTCCTCGTTGATATATTTTGGGTTCATCTAGTGCTGAACACATCCAGTATTCTCGGGCAGATCACAAATTCCCTTCTGGCCATTGAAGTATCTGTCACCGCAGCTGACCTTCAGGGCTTGCTGGTGACGGCAGATGTAGTAGTCGTTGCAGCGCTTAGGAGAGGCCATAAGGAAGCCATCGGGCTTGCCAATACAGTTGATTTGAATTCCATTTTCGATGGATGAGAGGCCAAGCAAAGCCTGAGCCACTTCCTTCAAAGGACGACGGTTGGGTCGGGCACGAATCGGGTGCTTAGCACTCAGTGCTGCAATGCCTTTATTTGCTTTTGAGCCTGGGCACGGTGTTGTTATGATTGGAGCACAAGCTGTTGTCGTTGTGATGCACGGCGTGGTCAGAGTTGTAGGCGTGGGGCAGGTGGTGGTAGTGCAAGTTGTTGTTTTTGTTGTTGTTGTTGTGCACGTTGTTGTTTTTGTTGTTGTCGTTTTTGTTGTGGTTGTTGTGCAAGTTGTTGTCGTTTTAGTTGTTGTTGTTGTGCAAGTTGTTGTTGTGGTGCTGGTTGTCGTGGTGCAAGTTGTCGTGGTGGTGCTTGTAGTTGTGGTGCAAGTTGTCGTGGTGG